TCACTCCAGGAAAAATGCCTCCAACATCATGTTGGTCATGTGGTGAATGGCATTATGCACGTTTTTGTCCATTCAAGAAACATCAGTGTCAAGCATGCCATCGTTGGGGCCATAAAGAAGGCTTTTGCCGTACCCACAATACCAAATCACCATTAAACCCAAAGAACGATAACAGTCCGATGAGAGACTCAATCAAAAGGTGGACGTACAAACAACGAATACAGTCCAATTCTCTGTTTGCTACGTTTCAAGTTGAATTCGAATCCCGCAGGAAATACATAACAGTTTCCATCAACAATTTCCCGATCCGTTTGCAGCTTGACACAGCTTCGGATATTACATTAATCTCACGTTCAGTTTGGGAATCAATTGGGAAACCTGTTTTATCATTCACGAACCATCGAGTCAAAAGCGCCTCTGGCAGCACTTTAAAACTAACAGGCAAGTTGTCTTGTGATGTGTTATTCAACAATGTGCACTTCTCAGGAACATGCTATCTCACTGATTGTCCGAAATTAAACATACTCGGACTCGATTGGATCGAGAAACTTGACCTTTTCAGTGTACCTTCATCATCTGTGTGCAGTGCTCTGAAGTTTTCATCCTCCTCAGACATTGCAGAACATTTTACTAAAACACTAAAGACGAAATTCAACGACGTCTTCCAAAGTGGCCTTGGATGCTATAGCAAAACCAAGGCAAGCCTCAAACTCCAACCTGATTCCACACTGATTTTCAGACCGAAGCGTCCCGTACCACTTGCTGCTCTCGCGACTGTGGAGAATGAACTTTTTCGTCTCCAGCAATCCGGAGTTATCCAGCCAGTAAACCATTCATCGTGGGCAGCTCCTATTGTTGTCATCAAAAAAGCAAATGGCAAGGTGCGCATATGTGCTGATTATTCCACAGTATTAAACGCTGTCTTAGACTCACCAATATCCATTGCCGGTACCAGAAGATTTGTTCACCAAGCTCAATGGTGGAAGGTGTTTCGCAAAACTGGATCTCGCTGATGCTCACCTTCAAATAGAAGTCTCTGGTGAATCCAAAGAACTTCTGACAGTTAGCACACACCGCGGTTTGTCTCAATCTAACCGTTTGCCATTTGGGGTAAAATCTGCACCAGCAATATTTCAACAAACAATCGGTTGTCAGGAGTTGATGCTTATTTGGATGACATCATTCTTACAGGTTCTAGTCAAGAAGAACTTCTGCATCGTTTACATTGTGTACTCGAACGGATTCAACAATATGGTTTTCGTGCAGAGAAGTGTGCATTTTTTCCCATTTCTATCAAATATCATGGATTTATTTTTGACGAACATGGTCGTCATCCAGACCCAGAAAATATTTCTGCCGTACAACAAATGTCAGCACGGACGAATTCAGCAACCTTGCGCTCCTTTCTCAGGTTAGTAAGCCACTACAGTCCATTTTTGCCAGACATGCGTCGTGTCGGTGAACCACTAAATCATTTTTAAAAAAAGGATGTGCCTTGGAACTGGTCACATCAGTGCCAGTCCGCTTTTGACAAAGTAAAGTCATTTCTCAGCTCTGACCTGCTACTTACACATTACAATCCAGCCCTGGACATTACTGTTGTTTCAGACACATCCAACCATGGTATTGGAACTGTCATCTCCAACGTTTTCCCCGACGGAAACGAGAAAGCAATTGCCCACGCAGCTAGAACCCTAATAGTTGCCGAGCGCAATTATGGTCAAATCGAAAAAGAAACTTCAGCAATAATCTTCACCGTCAAGAAGTTCCACAAAATGCTTTATGGACGTCATTTTACGCTCATCACTGACCATAAGCCCCTTCTCGCCGTTTTTGGATCCAAGAAGGGCATCCCGGTAAGGTCACCGAAAAGACAACTGTGACGAACTCCACTGGATGCGTGGAACGGGTCAAGATGGCTCAGTCATTAAGACTCAAACTTACGGGTTTGTGGTTCAACCTAGTTTGGACTCTCGACTACTCTTATCTAGGCTTGCGCAGCCCGGCAGTAACTCATCCTCCATACTTCCTCTGGGTGACATGGAAGCCAGGATTCTGGATAGTTCACTGTGCGGATCAACCCAACTGGAGGTGTCGGAATAAGGGGCACAAAAACGTTTGCGAACTTCAACGACATTACCCTCTGTCCAAGAATATTTAGGACAGCTTGTCCATCCAGAGTCGAAGGCTCCCTCATAGTGGAGGAAAACTGCTACTGTTGGCCAGTGGTACAGGGGACAGCTAGTCGAGCCCTTGACGTAATATGACGATATAGCCAAGGCATCCTCTCCCAGGTCGAAATCCCGCCTTGTGATCTGAGTTTTGTCTATCATGTGCCGGCGAACGGTGTCGCAACATAAAGGAAGTCAGTAGCCGTGTTATGACAGGCGTGAGACTCATGCTTGCATTGTTCAGGCAGCATTTTGGAACACAGGTACGACCAATGATCGACTTCGACTCTGTAAAACGCTTTTGTATCCAAAGGTAGGCACGAACAATCTAGTGGGAGCGGAACACAAATATTCTCTTCCGTTTTTGAACACCGCCACATCGCTGGAGGAAGTTCGTCTGGTGCAGCAGACCGATAACAGTTCACGACAGAAAGGCATCTGAGGGGGGAGCTAGACTCATAGACCTGAGTGGAAAAAGAGTGGATGGAATGGGAGACACCGGTGAGCGGCCGGGGGCTATTGAACCTTTTTATGAAGGAAAATATTCACAAGATTGCTGAAAACTCTTCGAAAATTTTCCGCCCAGCGGCCTGGACACTAGTTTTCTTTATGTGTTAGATTTCCTATATATTTGACTAGCTTACTTGTGGGAGGCACCTAACGTTTTTCCTTCAGGTTAGCTGGAGCATTCCTAGTAGCACTGACTTGTTGCATTTCTTGGGTTTTCTGGTTGAGCTGTCGTCTGATTGCCCGCCCGGCTGGATTGTGCTCCGAACCAGCAAGATTTGAGAGTCCATCTCATGGTTCAGCCGCCTCCGTGTACTCGTTCGGAAGCATCATGAACAGAATTCCTGGTTTTCAGTATAGCCATGATTGTTCTATCTCAATTGCATTCAATTAATCGAGCAAAAGTGCATTGGAAAGTGAGCAGATACAGTACAAGAAGACGCCTTATTCCTACCGGTCGTTTTGTCGAAGTAGAAAGTCGGAAACCACCGAGTCGGCTGTTCATAAGTATGAGGGAAGAATTGCGAAGCTCGCAAACTGAAGATCATACCAACACTGGGGCAACCCACTGTAGAAGTTGCAAGATCACTTGAAGTTCCTAGTCTGTAGCGTCACAGTCTGCATTTGAGTTTCAGAAATGCAACTTCAATTGATAGGGTATCTAGAGTATACACAAATACAGCCTGGCGGCCGACCTGTCCAAGGTTTCTCGCCTTAACGACTGTAGTAATAGAAGAACGAGGTCTTAATAACGAATGCGTAGTGAAATATATGAGCGCTGTTGCGTACAACTTACCAATCGCATGCGACTGGTGCGCCTGCAGCTGGAATCCATGTCGGAATAATTGTGGGACGGCATGGGCCTCAAGAGACAATGGCCGAAAAAGATTAGAGGCACTAGCAATCGCGCGTTTCTGGTTATCTGCCCTACTGTGTGCGACCCGACTGAGGTCACCGCGCAATGGCCGATGTGGCATGAAGGTCGTTTCATCCGTAAAGCTCATGGTCGTATGTGGACTGGGATACCATTAGGGCGCCTAAACTTAGATAGGAGAATGAGCAGGTTCTTTGATCGAGGCGTTTGACCCACAAGTTCCGACATTTGTGGTAGACGTGCGACTGCCCGGATAGCCCGAATTTCTAGGAAAAAACCGCCATTTGCTCTAACTGCAACCTGGAGGGCCAAAAGATCGTGTATATCAGACCTTTATCTATCGGCTAACCTTGCTGGAGAGATCCTGTGTATGTTGAAAGGGCATCTCTATGAACTGATGACAGAGACTCGCACCAATACAGTGCAAACGTCGTCCAGGAAAAAACTATATCTAGATAATCCCGATGACATCGGGGACTGCTGCAGAAAGTTACGCGCAAAGCGAGGTGGACTTAATGTAGTAGCACTATTGACTAGGTGGTTGCTAGATTTTGCTCAGTGATACAAGCACCTGTTTCCTCTTACAAGTGTCGGTTTCCAAAAAGACATTCGTCGATTATTTTAACCGTCAGTTTCTGGAACACTGCCACCTTTGGTGTACTTCTATCAAATATATGGCTAGATTAGGATTTCACCAGGCACACACTTCATGCACTGGGCATGATCAGTAGAGAACCTAAAAACCTGACCCATAGAGGACTAGCTCGTCTTTTGGGGGCATTCTTCGACAGAAATGGTCCGATATTCCAGAGCAATTTTACTTAGTGGAAAGCGTGCTGTCACAAGCCGAGCTTAATACAAATTTCCGAATCGTTTCGCCAGATTACAGACAGATGAGGTGTCGGTGCTATACGCCAATACAGGCGTCAATGGAGGAGAAAGCCTTCTGAGAAGCTGTTTCCTATTCATTTACCACCGATCTCTCACCTACAGTATTCGAACGAAACCTTCATTTTCAGTGGTGGACGCCGTTGCTACGTAGAAAATCCGACAATATATGATCACGAACTGATTCGTCATAAGGGAAACCGGCTTAACCACCCACCACAAGATGAATCCGTGGTCAGGGTTTCGGGTAAACTACTCCATAGTTTGGTGGCCCGTTCGTGAGTTCGAACATGGAAGCGAAGAAATTCTCTGCTTCACACACTTCAATTCACGAAAAATCAATTCGACGGGAAATCCAACGAGCCACATTTCAAAGCGAAACGCAGGTTTGTAAACACTTCAAGGTAACAGTAAACAACTGTCGAAAAACGCGATTCGAAAACAGTCGGTAAAGACAAAAATCAAAGATGAGTTATGATTATACTGAGCAATCACTGTACAGAAAAGTTGAAGTCACAGAAGCTTGAAAAACACGAAAGTATCTTGTTTGTCAGCAAGCATTACACTTGTCGTAGACGGGCAAGCCGTTGGGACAAGTCATCTTCTTCCGCAGCGCTAACAGAAACTGTGCTTCCGTCTGCCTTTGGGAGTTCTTGGTTCAACTCCAGGCCTGCTTCGTCCGCCGCTTTCATCATCAAGCTGGTAACTTCATCCTCAGGCACGTTAAGCGTGACAGTGTTACCCATTGCAGTATCCATCACCTGCGACTGAACATCCAGATTTTCAAAGTTCTTTTCGAACGAGTCCATCAACTTCATTAGCCGCTCTAAGTCCATTGATTTTGCCGCTGTGTCCATTGATTTTACAACGGACGCCATATTACCAGTGAGGCTCTTTAAGGCAATAGCGGTCTGAACACGGGCACAAACTGCGTCCACTCTCGCAGACATTCTCCTGAAGGAGAGAGCTTGGTTTTTATTTCGTATGGCATTTTCAGCATGAATACGGGCACCGTCAGAATTGCTCTTCGCAAGTGCAGTTTTTATTTTCCTCTGTTCCTCTTTTTCGGATCTTTCACATTTCACAGCGGATCTTTCGAGGTTTTTCGCAACAAACTTCAGATTAAACAACTGATTCTCCATTGCAACAGACGGGACAATGGACGGTCGAACGCGCAGAGTCGGCGACTTGCGGTCTGGACCGGGCAGCTGGCACTCAGATTTGAAGTCCCGCCTGAGGGCTTCAGTTTCAGCTGTTTCACAGTCTTCCATGCAAATGCGGCAACACAGCAACATTTTGGCTATCCATGATGGGTTGTAAGACAGTCAGATCATCTAAAGTGGTGAAAGGTTGGTGGTTGGTGCTGTGGCGTCGTCAGGCCGTCCCATGGGACCAAGGAATGTGTTAAAGAAGGTTAGCACTGTTCAAATGATATGGAATGGAGCCAATGAATATTTTCACGCAGTCACGTATGCGTGCACAGCTTTCGTTCAACTTTCCGCTGTAAAGTTTGTTATTTTAATTCACCAGATTATGTCCACGTGGTATTCGCAAGTAATTAAAGTGGGCAGCACCACCTTTGAAGTTCAATTTAGTGAGCAGTAAGCTAGCCAGACGAAGATCACGATCCCTAAAACTCCCGATGTTTCGTCCTTGGTGCCCCTCGTTACACGAACCATCGTGGAACTTGTCTCCGCTAGGCTTATCGAGTGCCTGAAAGTATTATTAGTGTTATTAGCCTACACATTCAGTCCGGATTGCAAATCTAATAAAGCCTCTCGGTTTAAAAGCAGCCTTATTTCCAACAGCTTCGTAGATCTCATTGAGCAACTTCGTTTGCACGAACCCAAATGGGCCTCAACCGTCTCGTTTCAGACCAAAAGCCTCCCAATGCCAACTTGCACGCAACTTTCGAACTTTTCCTGTTTGAACATGAGATCCGGGGTGCGCGTGTTGAGTATATATTCTGATTATATTATCTCAACTTTTTGCCATCACGGTCTGAAATGTCCCTGAGGGTTTCATCGAGGTTTCAAAAATATCCGCATTGTGGGATTAGTTTCGCAGGGAGTAGAAAAACTGGGTTCTTGAAGGTCCCGATGCATGGTTGATCAACACCAACGTGGAGATATTCAGGTCATGCGCAGTTTCGGAGGTTCATGGACACATCTCATCCACATAAATCGGACCGTCTGGAACGTTTAGCGAGTATTACGGGATCATCCCCATCAAGTTTCTAGAAGGGATGGTGCTTGGGTCTAAGTCAATGGTCACCCAGAAATGAGCCGCAAAAGGGGCTCGAATCAGGGTCAAGCTTAGGAGGTCAGCATCCACTAAGGGGCTTGTGTGACCAAGCCTTTTTTATTGTAGATTTGCCGAACTGTGTCCAGCTCGGGTGAGCTTACTGTTGGCTGGTCATATGGTAGTTGATCTGTGCTCACTCAACTGCGCACTGACGATGTCTCCCCCAACACTTCCGGGCTGTCCAATCCTAGACGACTGCTCATGGGCTCGCATTGCTGCTGAATTGGGACTTGATGGAATTCTTGTTCACTCACTTTATCTAAGCGATGATTAATCACTCCCCTTGGAAGGTCGAATTGTTACACAACCTCCGCATTTACCAGTTGCCAGCTCGCCAAGCAGATCGCCCGATAGGCCTTCTTTTTCTTCCGGGCCATCTGATGAATTGCATATGCAAGCATTTATACTTCTTGTCGCGCAAATAGACTCACACTTCAAGTGCCAGGAAGGTGTCCAGATGTTGAAGATCTGTGGTCATCGGTTGCCAGGGCGTCCCATGTGTAAATGACTGTTTCTTTATCCCTCCCGTTCGCCCCGTCCATCCTGTTTAAGAGCAAATCCCCAGTGTCTGGTTCCGCGTCCACGTTGTCTCTGTGTGTAAAATTTTCTAGTATCAGGAGTCACATATTTGACAGCCACCAGACTTTGTTCCCTGTGCTCATTGTGTTTGGCCAGAATACACTGAAGCTACTAACACCGACAAGAGCGTTATTAGTGTGTATGACGAACCTATGTTTCCGCTATTTCTGTGGGCTTCGTCATTCCGCTTACAGAGAGGTAATTAAAGCTCCTTCGGGATAAACGTTTAGTTATTGATATTAAATTCGGTACGCGGCCACCTGTGTTGTGATATGGCAAATTTTCGTGTCTATTCAGTTAACCTTGAAAAATTTGGAGTGGCGTGGTGGCACATATTTACAGTTGAAGTCTTGGCTAAACTGCTGATAAGTTGTTAAACCCCCAAAATTTATTTGGTGCTTCTTGTTGTGTCGGTTGCCACTTGCTACCACTATTAATGGCACCATTTATTTAAGCAGGCATCTCTCTATGTTGTGACATCTCAGTTGTTCTGTCATTAACCCTCTTCAATTCCCATTGGTTGCCACTCCACTATTAATGGCACCATTTATTTAAGCAGGCATCTCTCTATGTTGTGACATCTCAGTTGTTCTGTCATTAACCCTCTTCAATTCCCATTTTCGATGACCGCGTTTATGCTACTGAATCGTTACTCAATATGGAGATGAAAATTTCGCAAGTCAGAGTCACAGACTGCGTTATCGTTTCGTAACTCGCCCGCATAAATTTGGACATATCCCCTTCCAAAACCAATATTCACAGTTTCAGTTCCTGGGTTCGCAAACAGTGGTGCAGTCATGCGATTACAAGTTTCCTCAGGCGCTTCCGATACCAGAGTTTTTGTCAAAACCGTTACTGCAACCCTCGTTGGAAACACCCAACAATGGCCCCCTCTCCCCGAAAGGGAATGCCATAATCACGGCGTCAGTGGTGAGCCGCAATATCCCGCCCAAGAAAACGCCATACCCTCAGCGCCACGGGGATGCTTGGTTTTGGCTGGACAATTTCGGTCGATCCTCTAATAGGAAATAGATGCGAGGGAAGAATTCGTTTAGATGAAAGGTGGTTTCTTGCAAAAGACTGAGCGGAACTTTTTGTTATTCTCTGTGAAGTACTTGCACTCCAATGCCACTAGCAATTCGACGTCAAGAAACAGGATTTTGAGTGAAAACCTACACAAATATACCACTTAACCCCTCTTAAGTGGACAGGATAAACGGGCCTTGGAGAATCCAACAGAAGGAGACTAGAGGAAACCCATAGCAACGATCCGGATGCGATTGGTCGACTAATATTTGGTTGAACGCCATGTTTCCAAAATTGCACTTGATGGGACAGGTGAAAACGTAACAAAATATGATGGAACTATCCACATGACGGTGCACCGAAGACGACTTGTTGGAGGAGAAATTGAGAGCAGATCTCTTACTTCAGCGAAATGATCAATGGTCACCAGATCAATAGGCAATTAACATGCTCGTATCTAAATGCCCTACATAAATTTAGAAGCTCACCAACATATAGGGAGAAAAAGGATTTCCAAAAGGTTTTTGTAAGCAGAAACAAAGAAACACCGGTTCTTGAGTACGTCTACACATTTGTTATTCCTATCACCTATGGGGCATGCTGGTTCATTTATAAACTGGCTATTATTGACTTAGTGAGTTGGTTCTCGGTTTTTAGCAAAAGTATTTTACTTAGCCAAATGACTTGCTTTTCTACGTGATACCATTTTAACGTTCGTCTGACTGTAAGGCGACAAGCAGAAAAAACAGCATTATGTGTACACAGGTATATGTATCGGACCGCCAAAATGCTAAGCAAAATGATATGCCTCGATTATCCTAAAGGCTACTGCATATGTGACTGTTGGACTGCACAATCGATCACAATTTCATGCCTTGGGACGTTAGGAGCCATTTATTTTTTCACTAAAGTTGTCTCAGCCTCCCGTATGTGAGACAGCGGCAGCTTCAGAGTACGCCTTTAGAGTGCACATTTAACAGCTATTGCTGGTTTGTTAACTGTTTACATTCAGTATCGACCATTTGTTATGACAGTTGGTCGTCCGATGGAGGCGACTGGCATACGTGTGATCGTAATGCACACTTCGAAGGTCATGTATAAAGGTCAGATTACTGAAAGTAACCTCAAAACGCCCGGAACCTACTGCTTTACCAAAAACTCGGCAGGAAAACCGGCGAGCATCCAGGCCAGTCAATCATTCAATCAATTCAGCAAAACCTGATAAGTGTCCTTGCACGCCACAGAAGCACGACCGGTTGTGATAGCGTTCAGGCTTTCCGTAGAGGAACGATCGAAGTTGATGTGTGTTCGTTTACGTCTATCAAACAGCCTGGATCAACGTCAGAACATCCCCTTTAAAAAGCGTGAGGCCGTTGAAAATTCTGCTCTCGCACTCGCACGCACTCACGCTCTTGCACCCATTTGTTCGGAATATAGTGGTTTTATCCCCTTCTGTGAGTCTTTTCTCCGGCATTAGGCATTGGAGCGGGTCAGCAGCAGATATAACACCATGTATCCCGCAAATTATGTTAAGTAAATACAAAAACCACTATTTTCATTGACTCTTACGCCGGTTAATAACGAAAATATCGGTGCATCCATCTCAGCCAACGAATAAATGATAGTGCCTGGGGTTATCCAGAGCTGGTCACTGATTTCCTCTGAGTCCTCACCCTTTAACGCAAAGTATCGTTTACCAATCATTTGAAAACCCGGAAGAATGTGAGCTTGTTCTGAGTTATTTAGTGAACAATGACTGCTACACTTATTTATTTGTGTCACCATTGTTCACGTGGAACCTTGGTAACCCAGTTTTGGTTGGAAAGTACTATTTCCAATCACCGCCTACATAGATTGCCGCGAACCCTCACCTTCAAAGAACCACTGTTCCTTGTCGCCTTTAAGGCGTGCTAAACATGTGTTTGACGAGGATGACTCGTACACACTAGTGATTCTACGTGCTAAGTTAGTAACAACCGACTAGATTCCAAGTCTACGGTTCACATAGATCCTGAAATATTCGGCTTGATAACCCTTATTTTAATGAGTGTGTGACAAAGTTTCGGTTTATAAATAACACTTTTGAAGTGACTCACTAAAGAAGCGGAGAAAGTACCGCAGCCACATGTGAGATGCGGGGCTGCTGAATACGTTTCCAAACCTTTGCTGTTAGAGGCTTTTCTAAGTAGCCCTAGAAACCCTGAGTATCGCGACCACTCTGATGGTATGTGCAAAGCAGGAAAATTGCGCCATTTTTCTCAAATACACAAGCTTGTCTTCAACACAAGGCCTGGGTGCCTTGTTTGTCGTGACGCATTTTGTCTGCAACAATCTTTCGAACAACAATAACCGCAACATCATTCTCACAAAATGCTCCACAACACCA